TTCCTTTTCTTTGTTATCTCATCCTGGAGGATTATTGTATTCCTTTGGTGACATCATGTTTCCTCGTTTTTTACTGTTTCTCTTATCCCTATGTTAATATCTGGGCATCTTGTGGAACAGCAGCTTCTTCTAATTCTCTGGAGTAGCTTTTGAAGGGAGAGATTCTTTCTTGTATATGTTTTCTATAGTGTCAGTTGGGTAGGATACTTTCAGTTTTGTTACAAGTGAGCACAGTAGTGTTGTCTCCATGTAATTTCTTTGACTATGCAACATTGGGTGTTGTCTGTGAGTGCCTTTATTGTGTAGGCACTGGGGTGCTCAGAAGCTTCTTACTGAAGTGGGAGTCACTGGGCCGGGTTGCTGGTGTCATGGGCATGGTGTCTGGCTCTTTGGGGAATCTTTAGGGGCTCTGCAGCTCCTGAGCTGAACTGGTAAACCTTTGGCAGTGTCTCTGGGTGCTCTCTCCAGGATCCTGTGCCCTTCACAGAGGTGCTGAGATGTTCTGCAGCTCCTCAGATTAAATGAAAAACCCAAGTTGGGATTGCTGGGGCCACAGACAAGACCTTGACCTTTGAGGGCTCTTCATTCACTCTGGGTAAAGTAACTGGGGTTGTGGGTGGGCCTTCGTGCACCCAAGAGAGATGGTTAGTTGCTTTGTAGTTCCTCAGCTGGAGTGGGTCACTCTGGGTGAGGTTGCTAAGGTCATGAGCAGAACCCTGCACCCCCAAGAGAAATGGCACATTGCTCTGCAGCTCTTCAACTGTTGTGGGCTGCACCTTGAAAGATTGCAATGGTTGTGGGTGGGTCACTGTGCCCCCAAGAGAGGTGCTAGATTGCTCTGAAGCTCCCTGGGTGTGGTGGGTGGCCCTGGGTGGGTTTGCTTGAGCTACCTACAGGACATTGTGGCCCTGGGAGAGGTGCATGGGTACTCCACTGGAGAGAACAGAGCCATTGGCAGCAGCAGAATGACTTGATCAGTTGGCTCTTTGTTCTTGGTTTAGCCTCTGCACTGTGCTGGACTGCTTGTTCCCAGGGGTGCAGGGCACCATGTAGGCTTGGGTGCCAGAGTCACAGTGTCATGAGGGGGCCTTAGGGCTATAGAGATGCTGGGGTTATGGGAGAATTAACTTCGGTGTTGGCTCCATTCTCAAAAAGGCAATGTCTATGGCAGTTTGGGACCAGAGGATGGGGGGACTAAGTGTGAACTCCCTCTCTAAACCAATGCAGTTAGGTGGGCTCCCAGCAGCTCCCCACACTGGGCTCAGGACCTGTAAGGTATGCACAGCTCACCTGTAAGTTGGATAGCAGGTATCTGCAGCACAAGTGGGGACTGCTCGTAACTCCCCTTCCCTACCTTTTCCCTGCAGCAAGGACTAAAGTTTCCCTCGAAGGAAGTGTGCATCTTTGCAGCTTCAGATCCAGCCTGAGGGGGAATGGCACTGGTACAACAGGGAGGGATGTGAATTCCACCACCACTGAGTCCTTCAGGGTAGGGTACAGCAGCTGCTGTCAGCCCAGCTTGGGGAAGTCAGTTCAATGGCAGCTTAGTCTAGGATGAAAGGATGTTACCTGTGGAGTAAGACATCCTCCAGCAGCAGTTCCAGTTCTAGGATGGCACAGTAGCTGTGGGAGCCACAGAGAATAGGGCACTGTGTCAGCACCTCTGGGGGAGTACAACCGTGTGGACCACAGGCAGCTTCCCCAGCTGGACTTAGTGCCTGTGAAGACTGCCAGGGTCCCCAGTGGAAAAGATGGTAGGTGTCCAAGGTGTTGATCTGGGTTTCTAGGGTCATCTTTCTTACCTATTCCCTGCAGGATGAAGTTCCTCCTGGTTCCCTGCTTCTCCTGGCTGGGGGATGGGGTGGCGAGTCTTGAAATTCAGATGGGCAAGAATTTATGCTTTTTCTGGAAAAGTTCAAAAAATCTTTGCCATCTCAAACTAAGTCTTATTATGTAACTATTTGGGAGGGAAATATTGTGAATTATCAGATTATCAAATAAAAACATTTTGATATTTAAGTTGTATTTAATCATTAAAAATAAACAAATTTTTGCATATGTGCTATTGTCTACTGCAACAGACATTCTGAAAGAAACAGTTGACAAGATTTGGTATCTGATTGAGGATAAGAGATAATAAAATCAAATGTGTTTTTACATTTTAACTGGTGTATTAGTCAGGGTTCTCCAGAATGACAGAATCAATAGGATATGTCATATGTATATGACAGGGGATTTATTACGGGAGTTAGCTCATGTGATTGTGAAGAGAAATCCCATGATAGGCCTTCTGCAAACTGAGTGCTGGTAGTGTGGCTCAGTCCAAGTCCGAAAGCCTCAGAACCAGAGAAGCTGATGGGGTATAAGTCCTGGAACCCAAAAGCTGAAGAGTCTCAAGCTCTGATGTCCATGGACAGGAGAGAAGAGAATAGCCCAGTTCCAAAGGATAGGAGATTTGCCTTTTTCTCTGTTTTTTGTTCTCTCTGGACCCCCAGCAGATTGGATGGTTCCCGAGGGTGGGTCTTTCCAACCCAGTCCACTCAGCCTGTCATGCTAATCTCTTCTGGAAACACCCTCATGGACACATCTAAAAAGATAGCTATACAGATTTCTCAGCATTCCTTCATCTAATAAAGTTGACACCTAAAGTTAACCTTCACAGCTGGCAAGTAATAGTGAAACAAAGAATTCAGGAATAAGGGGAGAACTTACAACTTAATACTTTTGAAACTCAGGAAATTTACTTAAACTCTCCACGACTCAGCTTCCTTATCTTTTAAATGATCACATAACAGTATACATGGTATATCATGTATGATTGTGGTAATTAAAGAAATAATTCATGTACAAAACTTAACATAGTGTTCAGTTCATATTTCTTAATAAATGTTAGTTTCTTTTATTATGAGTGTTATTAATTAGTTCAGTTTGAACATGGTAAGTTTGAGGTGATATTTTTGTCTCTTACTTATGTTAAAATTCTTAAGGTTAAAGTGGTCTGACTGGAATTCAGATAAATGGATCCTCAGACTACAGACTATATCTAAAGTGTCAATTCTCAGTACCATATTTTAAGTTACAACGTTAATCTGGTTATAACAAGGGAAGTGTAACCATTATGGTAATATTTCAGAGTAGAACAGAATTTCTCAACTTCAACTGTACTGGCATTTTGGGCTAGACAATTTGTTGTTGGGGGGATGAATTGTATATTTTAGGATACTTAGTAACATCCCACTAGATGCCAGTCAAAAATGTCTCCAGACAATGCCAGATGTCCTGTGGAGGTCAAAAAACCATTCCCAATTGGGAACCACTGGAGTAGATGAAATCATGTATGCTTTTTCAAATATATAAAGAAGTTTTAGCAAATAGCAGACTCACACAATTTAACACAGAAGACAGCAGTAATGGTACTTGATAAAAGTTCGAATTTTTCATAGTTTGAACAAAATAAAAATATAATGCACTGACTTTTTTTTTTTTTTTTTTTTTGTCTTTTGTCTTTTTCCGTGTCCGGCAATGGATCGCAACCCTCAGTGTTGCCCCCGCACCGGACCGGGGACCGGCAACGGGATCGCAACCCTCGGGGTCGCTCCTGCGCCTCGCTCAGCCAGTGAGCGGGAACCGGTCCGTATGTGGGATCCGAACCCTCAGGCAGGAGCGCCGCCGCGCCTCCCAAGCGGCGCACTTATCCAGTGCGCCACCGGGCCAGCCCACTGACTTTTGAGTCAGCAGCTTCTCAGCTATGATGTGGGTTTAATTAGGTGCTGGGTCACTATCAGAGTTAGTGTACTGGGAATTTCTTTCCTGGGAGGGAGTTTAAATAATCTCTTAGATCTCTTTTAATAAGATTCTCTCATTTTGGCAGGGCTAATGATTCAGATTTGGAAATCATTCCAATAGTGTTCTTAGTTGAAATCATGAGAATACTGAACTCTCTGAGAGCAAGAGAAGAAAAGAGCATAGGTCTTATGAACTGAGTTTTAAGGAAGTCCATATTTCAAAAGAGGGAATATGAAACATAACCTACCTCCACTGACTTTATATTGTAAAAAAAACAATAAAAGAAAACTAATGAAAATAAATTATTCAGAAGGACTGAGTTTTAAAGAATGAATGGGGTATTGTCAGTTAAGAAGTAAAAGTCTGTTGATAGAGGAAAGACCAGTTTATGTAAATTCTTTCTTTCTTTTCTTTTTTTTTTTTTGGGGGGGGGTGGCTGGCTGATAACAAGAACCAAACCCTGAACCTTGGTGTTACCAACACCATGCTCTAACCAATTGAGCAAACTGGCCAGCCCCCAGTTTATTTAATTTCTAGAAAGTCATGGTGACCTTTGGTGAAAATAAATACTGAGGAAAGTGTTTCCTAAAATATTCAATATCATATAAACATTAATAATTATTAATATCAACATTTTTACTAGTGTGCAAGCCAGACACCCGATTACAAGGAGTTAAGTGGGGAGTAGGTTATGAAGAAATTTACATGGAGGTGGCTGAGTAGACCACTTGTACAATGACTAGAGGAAGCTATAATGTCATAATGGTAGATTTAAAAAAATTTTTTTAACAGTACATAGGACTTGTGCACTTTTGAAAATTTAAATAAGATGAGCTATAAAGAAAGAGCTTGTGATATTATGGAAAAAGTTAACTATGATTTAAAAAAAAAGGACACCTCAGTGATCAGAAAGGTTAGGATCACTAACTTTTCTAAAAAAAGAAAATCCATTTTCTTTAATTCTGGAAAAAGAATTAGAAAATGGATATGGAAACAGAAGTGAGATGGTGGGCAAGCTCAGAGCTCCCAACAAATGGGGAGGAAAAGAGTTTGAGGCTTAAGTAGCTTGATTTTAAATTTGGTTCTGCCACTTACTCCTTATGTGACTATAAGCAATTAACTTCAAATTCTCTGAGCACTGGATTTCTTTTATAAAATAAGAATCACATATCTTATCTGGAAGCCTTCTTTTAAAACTAAATCCAGTCATCAATATGTGGAATGTTTTCAGCACTCAGTGGATAGGTGCTAGAAATGTCATTGTTGTCATCATCATTGAAGGATATTTTAAGGTCGTCTTCTTCAAGTGAGGTAGAGACAAGGAGAGAAAATATATTGAGGACTTGACAAGAGTAGAAAGTGTCAAAAACTGCCAGTGCTTATGAGTGAATCAAGTGACAAATGCAACAATTGTCAATTAAGGATGAGGACCAGTCGTTTTGCAGGGGCCAATGACCAGTGAATTTGTAGTGTTAAAGATCTGCTCACTTCTGGGTCTTCTTATAGCATGATCTGTGACCACAGAGCAAAAGAAGAGAAGCTAAACAGTGACACATGGTTGAGACTGATTAGTCAGATTCACATAAATCTCTGCTATTTTGAGATACATCAGATTCAAGTACTATTAAGAAACTACCATGCATTATTATAGTTTATTGCATATAGTACCTACTATATTAGACCATATTTATTAACATTATAACTGAATTATTTTTTAATTTTAATATTAGTATATGCTTAGAGTTTCTGAACCTCAGTACTATTGACATTTTAGACTGAATGATTATTTGTTGTTGGAGACCGTTCTGTGCATTGTAGGGTGTGTAGCAGCACCCCTGGCTCTACCCACCGATGCATGTTGCACTCCCCCCTGCCCCAGTCATGACAATGAAAAATGTCTCAGACATTTCCAAATGACCCGTAGGAAGAGGAGGCAAAATCACCTTTGGTTGAGAACTACTATAACATGCTTATCTCTAAAATACTTAGTAATAAAAATAAAATGAATATGTGTGACATTTGAATTAATAACATTACCATATTTTATGACTTATAATAGCAATTCTCCATAGATTTCAGTTGTGATTTCTGTTGCTTCATAAGACCAATGGAATTATAAATTTACATTTCATCTGACGGAGAAAATCCTAAAGATAGACCATGATGTATAGCAAGTAATATATTTTTCTACCTATACATTTTGATTTACTTCAGAGAACATTTTAAAAACTGCAAATTTATTCATTTTTGCTTGAGTTATTTACTGAGACAAAGTGATTGCTTTTATAGTTTTTAACCATCCATGTATTCTCTTATTACTTCATTACATATTTTAAATATGTTCTGTGCAAAAATTATTTGTTTTTTATTTTCCAGTTGTTTTTTATCCTTATTACTGGTGGCTGCTGTGGTATGGAAGATCAAACAAACTTGTTGGGCTTCTCGACGAAGAGAGGTATCAGTAATACTTCATCTTATGTTTAAAGATTTGAGCAAACATGAGGATATCTATAGAATGTTACTTAATATGCTCCTTTGGAATACAGATTTTCAATTCAGTTTTGCTTAATATTGAACAAATCATTCTAGTATTTTTAAACTTTACAGAAAACTTTACTGTCATTTTAAGTCCATATCTGTAGAAGCATTCATTAGTTGCAGTCTTTTTAAAAATAATATTAGAATTTATAGTGAATACAAATATTAATTCTGTTGTTATATAATCTGTAATATCTTTAATTTAGATATATGCTATAAAAACAGGATGTTTTTCATAAATGTCTGTTGCAATTTAAAAGAAAATTTTGCTTGATAAATGTTTGAGTTTTTAGAAAAAGTAGCCCCCAGAAATTTATTATAACATTTTTTTGTAATCAAATCTTTTCCATTTCTTGATTACTTGAATATCCAGGTATGTTTAAATAGCATATCAATTTGATGCATTTCACATCAGAATTAATCATGTATGTCCCATATAATCCTAAAATTGATAAAAACAATATTTTTACCAAATATTAACTGATGGTATAAATATCTTAGATAAATATAGTTTCTTAACTTTTTGTATATCAGTTGCCTGAAAGGAACAAAGAAGCATAATCATATGAGGAGCAAAAGTATGCAGTAGATTTATTACTCCATACCTCATATAATGAAAAAGCAAGTTTCTGTTTTTATTAGTATGCTATTATTCTTTTAGTATTAATGTTAATATTTTATTTGCTGCTGTGTTTCCCAGTATATATATATATATATATACTGGGAAACTATATATATATATATATATATATATATAGTTTTGTACAAGAATATAAAATGGTATATACTGCTTGTCTTTACTCCACATTTAAAAAAATAATATTTGAGAATATTTTAAAACAATCCAGAGTGTTTTAAGTTGTAGAATTATTGAATGACATGAGTTTTTAATTATTCTCCTATTTTCAAGCACCCATCAAAGCTCAGTGCCTACCTTTAATATATTTGCAAACTGGAGTTCCTACCCCACCAAATAAATCATTCACCTTAATCCTCTCTGCCTCTCTGATTTTTTATATAAGGCCAGCGCAACATCAATGAGAATTTACTTGGTACGGCCCCATGATAAAAACTAATCCAGTTGAAAAAGAGCTTATCAAATATAAATATATAAATATTTGGCAAGAGGTAGAACTCTGTATGAAGATAAACAATCTTTTGGACATGTTAAATGATATATTACACAAAATAATAGATTCAGGAAGGAAAAACATAATCTTAGGCGGGCAGTGTGAAGGCCTTCCATAATGGAATAGAGCAAGGGAAAATTTATGTTTCTAACCATTAGAAAAGAAGTCAGGATCAATCAGGTAGCCTCTGTTCCCAAAGCATTACAATGGGCACTGTTTAAATATCTGATCTGTAAAGTTTATAAAATGCAGCTGTAGGTATAGCATTGTGAAAAAAATCAGTGAATAACCTTGCCATTAACAGGCATGTGAATATGAGTAAGTGGTCTAGTTGAATTTCCTTGCCTCTAACAGGAAGGGTTGTACAATATAACTAATTCTGGGATTGGGGTCTTTAGAGCTTTAGAAGTGTTTATAGGTAGTAGCTAAAGTTTAGAAACAATATTTAATATTTGTAAAAAACTAATGATTGTTCATTTACCTATAAAACTTTCACACTTCTCAAAATTACAATTGATTTTGGTTAATATTGTATAATCTCAGTGTAGTAGTGCTATGTATTACATTTTAATCAGATACTCTGGCAAGCTGATATTACTTTCATTTAAAAAAAATTAACATGAATTTATCTTTTGATTGGAAGTCAAAGTCTTTTAAAATATGATGTGTATATGGAAAGAATAAGGGAGAAATAGTAGGGGAGAAGTAGATTTGGAAAAACTGGGCCAGTTCTAGTCTGTGTTTGTAAATATTATGTCTTCTCGATATCCCCTCACTCTGAGGGAACTTCAGAAGGTTTGTGGAAAGATGGAACTAAAAGACAAAAATAAAAAACATAAACTTTATTTGTCAATATAAGCTCCATCAAATTCAAGACACTTTTGTAAGCTGTGATACCAGCCATTTAGTCCACACCTAAAGAACTGAGAGTCCAGGGAATTTAACCATGTCAATGCAGTCTTTTTCACATTATGAACAGAAGAAAAATGTGTGCCCTTTAAAGATTTTTTTTTTAAGATTTGGAAACAAAAAGAAGTTAGGAGCCAAATCAGCACTTCAAGGTGGATGTCTAATGATTTCTCATCAAGACTTTTGCAAAATTGCCCTTGTTTAATGAGAGGAATGAGCAGGAGCATTGTCGTGGTGGAGAAGGACTTGCTGGTGAAGCTTTCCTGGGCATTTTTCTGTCTAAGCTTTGGCTAACTTTCTCAAAACATTCTGATAACAAAGAGATATTATCATTCACATTCATACTTTTGTTACAACAGTATATTATTGTAATTATTCTATTTTACTGTTAGTTTATGGTGTTGGTCTCTTACTGTGCCTAATTTAAAAATTAAACTTTATCATAGGTATGCATGTGTAGAAAAACACATAGTATATGTAGGGTTTGTTGCTATCCGTGGTTTCAGGCATCCACTGGGGGTCTTGGAATGTATCACCTGTGGATAAGTGGGAACTACTGTATTAAAAGATTGTTTCTCATTTTGGCTTTATGAGTCTCAGAGATTTTTAACCACACTATTGTAGTTTATGTGATAATCCCGTTAACAGACTTTATGTGAGTAGAGGTGAAAATGTGTTTTTATCCCATCCCCTCTTTATTCAGTTTTAACTATTAGATTAACTGTAATATTCTCTAAAGGAAAACAGCCCAGTATATTTTTTTATGTGAATATGTTACTTTGTCTCTAAAACATTAAGAAATAAATTATTGTAAGGTTCAATTCACCTATAGTTGGTAGAATGACAATTTGTAACAGTAATTAAAAATTCTTTAAATGATTCTTTCTTAAAATTTCTGTAGTTTTGTTATAGTAGTTGTACTAGTTGCTTTTCTAAGGACTGTTTAAAATGAAAATAATCTTTGGAAAATTTTTAAATATATTGTGTTAATCCAAATATGTATATTACTTTTTTAACTATTTGAAACTTTGGTTTCTTATAAGCACAGACATACGTTTTTGTGGCATAATTTTAATGTCAGAGGCCTGTTGTTAATGTTATGCCTTTTGGATGACACTGTGGAGAATTCAGGAGCTCTTATAAACAAAAAAATTAAACTACAAAGGACTTCAATTTTTATATTATCCCTTAATGTGGGAGTGCAGACTCATTTCTATAGCAACCTTACCAATAATATTAAAGCTTGCTTTAGAGCTGTGCTAATGAATGGGAATAATAAGGGCTTATTGATTAGTGGGAACGCTATTATACTAGAAAGATTAATTCATTTTTTGAGCTTGTTATCATTACAGAGTTATTGAAAACATTTAGCTTCAATGTTACATTCAATTTTAGTTAGTCATCACATTACTAAAATATTTGTTAGAAGCAAGTATATTTTAAAAGGAATCTCCTGAAATTTTGTGATACTTAGTAATCTTAGTTTTTAAAATAAAATTTGAATTTTTAATAGGTATCATAAGGCATAAATGAATCAAGATATTATAATTATTCTTTGTAATTAAGATATTTAATTGTATGTTTGAGTAACATGAGTGAAAATATCATGCATATCTTAATAGTTACAGACATCAAGTTTTCTCTCTTGGAAACATTTATTCCCACATGTTTTGAGTGGTTTAACTGTAATATGTCTCAGTCAAAATCTAACTGCAAAATCCAGGGAATAATAGATCTATAGGCAAAGGCAGGGTTATTTTTGCATCAACTATATATTACTAGTGTGTCTGGGTATTTGAATGATCTCTGAATTTCTTGTACCAGCAATTTTTCCTTCTTTAATTCTTCTCTTAAATTTATAGTTCTTTAAAAGTTTTAAAAATATATTAATATAGAACTTTATCACATTTTGAAAATCTTTTTTAGTATGTTATACTTCTCTTATGCGTAATACAAAATATTGCCTCGATTAAGACAGTGCCCAATAAGTGACTGAACTTGTGTTTGTGATGCTCTACATTCCTGCACATTTCATAATCATGCAGCATAAAACTTAAATTTGGGTTTATCATTATCAACCTGTATTTTGAGTTAAAATAATAAACTAAAACCCATAAGTAGGGTTCTAGTAGCTTTGAGTAACAAACTGGTTTTCTAGAGGCAAATACATTAGTTCATTCCTTTTAGACCTAACTTTTTTATGGGCACACACACACACACACAAAAAAGCAAGAACTGATAATATCATTAAATTTTACTTTACTAATGACATTTCATGGGTAAAAAAAATTCATAATAAAATATTCTCTGTGGTGCTAATCTATGGCAAATGGGTTCTCATTTAAATATTATTAATGCAATGCAGCAGTGTTTTACAAATTGAGCTATTCTGCTTGCTTAGATGCTCAACTTATTTACAGAGAGAGTCGGGCACAGAGCAAAGAGAGTAATGAGAAAGTGTTATTTTGAGTAGAGAAATTAAAATTAATTGATTAGAAAATGCAGACAACACTTTGTAGAATTTCTTGTACTTTAAAAATTTGTATTTTATGTTATGTTTAAACATTTAAAGCTTTCCACAAAACACATGCTTTTAAAAAAACATTAGTAAATATTGCACTCGAATAAATGTCTTTGCTGTTAAAGACCTCAGTGTCAACTAGTTTTGCTTATCACTTCCTTTTTATTAAATTGAAAATTATAATAATTACCATTTTATTAAGTTTTTAAAATTTACTAGAAATTGCAGATATTCAGCATATCTATTTATTTTATTATAGTTTTTAAATGAGCATAAGTGTAATTAAAAATAACTTGAATCGAGAAGTCAAATATGTATGGGAGCACAGAATTAGAAAGGTAATCTTGCAAACCTATT